TTTTTCGACTTTAATTAATTACTTACTTTCATTAATTTTAATAAATTCGTCGTTATTAATGAAACGACGACGTCATTCATTACGTGATCGTTTTTTGTGATGTTCATTCGAAACTTTATAGAAAGTAAGTATTATTATCATTATTAATACGACGCGACTCATCATACATTTTCTATGCTCGTGGAATTTTTCATCATTAATTAATTAATTAAGGGGGCTCAGGGAATGAAGGAATGATTTGACGAAAACGGGCCGGCATTCATTTTTAAAAATCAATCGAGTGATCGAATATTAAAATCAACGATTGGAATGCGTCAGAAATTAGAAAAAAATAATAATGATAATGATAATGATAATAATAATAATAAATAAAAACTTTTTACGAATGCGAAACGCGCGGGTTAATTATAAATACGAGTGAGTAACAATTGCTTATGTATTGGATGAGGCCTGCCTGCCTGCCTGCCTGCCAAACAAACAAACAAACAAAATACATACTAAACAGGGTTATTGAAAGAGAGAGAGAGAGAGAGAGAGAGAAAGAGGGAAAAACACGTGTGAGACAAAGAGAGAGAGAGAAACAGACGGAGAAACGATTAAAAAAAAAAAAAAATAATAATAATAATAAAAACTAGCAGACTACATTTAAATTAATGTTAACAATGAATTACTAGATTTGGAGGCGTTTTTTTTTTTTTTCCCCTTTTCTTTTCTTTTTTTTTCTATCCTTTTTTTCCTTAACAATTAAAAAAAAAAAAAAAAAAAAATGAAACTTTTTGCTTCAACATCTTTTATATAGATGCTGAGTAAAAAGAAAAAAAGAAAAAAAAAAGAATTTTTTTCTAAATATTGCAAATATTGTTTTTTTTTTTTTTTTTTTTTCTAGAATTTAAACCGTTAACTACGCACCGTCGGTGGGTGACCCTACCCTACTAGATCCTCATAATAATTAACAAAAAAAAATTAGTTAATGTTGGCAATCATTTTATATTTACTACCAACATACGAAATAATTATAAGAAAACCATATTAATAATAATAATAATATTATCAACGTTAATTAAATTCCATTTTGTTTTTTTTTTGTGTGTGACAACCATCATCATACAAAACAAACGATCGCGAATTATTATTATTTTTTTTTTTTTTTTTTTTTTTTTTTTTACTGAGATGATGATGATGATGATGATGATGCGAAAAGACGGGAAATTACATCAAATTAACGACTAACTGTTATTATTATTATTATTATTATTATTATTTTTACGGACATAAAATTAACATTCGAGTAAGATGTTGGTTAGTTGAGAACGGAGTAAAGTATAAAAAAAATTGTATTTATTATTATTTAAAAAAACTTGTAAAGTTAAAATTATTCTCGAATCGAACGGAAACTAACCTGTTCTTTCGATACCCATCCTTCTTCCCCCCCTCTTTCCTCCCTCCCCTTTCCCCCCGATAAAAAAAAATTAAAGCATTCGCACTGGCAAATTATTTTTCCCCCTTTAAACACGTTAATTCACGGGTACTATTTTCTCGTGTGTGTGCGTGTGTCGGGTTAAACACATAAATACAGTGATGATAATAGCCGAAGAAGAACATGTATACAAAATAATAATAATAATAATAATAATAATAACTTTCGACAACGTATTTAAATAATAATTTATCAGATTTAAACAATAAAGTAAAAAAAAAAAAAAAAAAATTCCGCATGAACCATGAATTTAAATTATGATATTAAAATCTCGAGAGAGAGAGAGAGAGAGAGAGAGATGGAAGGATGGAGAGTGGGGGGGGCATCCTTGACAGAAAAAAACTCGAAACCAGGTTCAAAAACCCTTCGTGGATAATGATTGATAATAGTTATTAGGGAGTTAATTGCGAAAGGGAATTCGTCTCATTGTTACTTTACATATATATAAATTAATTTTTTTCTAAGCTATTCAACAAAAAAAAAAAAAAAAAAAAACACGACAAAAAAAAACAAAATGGCGGTTTTAATAACGAACCTTTCAATTTATTTATTATTATTATTATTATGATTACCTTAGAGAGAGAGGAGACTACAAAAAAAAAAAAAAAAAAAAAAAAAAAAGCTAGAAAATTTGTTGTTGTTGTTGTTGTTGTTGTTGTTAAATCACGAGTGAGGTGAATGATTGATTTACGACGTGATTTTATTTTATAATTTTCTAAAAATCGACATTTAAAATTCTTATTAGAAAAAAAAAAAACACAAAACAAATCCCTAAGTGAAAAAATAATAATAATAATAATAATAATAATAAATTGTTTATGTTTATTAAAATACCTGTTAGGAAAATAACCGGACCACGGTGTTAAACACATACATATTGTGTTCGAAAATTTTTTTTTCGCCTCGTATTATTATTATTATAATTATTATTATTATTTAACATTTTTTCTAACGACTTTGCTAATGTTTTTAACAACTAGATCGTTACAATAACTAGTAATTTTGCAAATAAAAAAAATTTAAATTTAAGTAGCTACATAAAAAAAAAAAAAAAAGCTGTCAGACCAGAAAATAAGAAAACGTAGGGAAAATTAAAAAAAATTTTCGAGAGAGAAAATGTCGTTAATAATAATAATAATAATAATCATTTGAATTGGTAATTATTTAAATTGAAAACAGTGTTACCAACCAACAACATTAAACGCGAGCCAACGAAAAAAAAAATGGGAAAATGGCAGGTACATCGACGTAATTAATTAAATATACGAAATTAGAAAACGGATTTTTTTTTTTTTCGAATTCGTATTCGGGTCTCGGTTTCGTTTTTTGTGGGGGGCCAAAAAATATACGAAAATGGAAGTGAAAAAAAAAAGGAAAATGATAAGAAGTACTTACAGGATAACACGAAAGATTTCTTTTTTGTTTTTTTCGCAACGACGAAGAATGAAAAATATTATTATTATTATCCTCTTTAATTTTTTCTTTTTTTTTTCTTTTTGATGATTTTCTTTAAAAATCTGAAAAGAAAAAGGAAAAAAATATTTTAATTATAATATTCTCTCTCTCTCTCTCTCTCACACACACGCAAAGGGAAAATTATTTATAATAATTATAAATTATTATTAATTATTATATAAGCGAAAAACCTTCGAGAATTATTAAACGACATTGATGATTACGCGAATTTAAATTTTTTTTTTTTTCTTTTTTTTTCAACAATGTTTCAAACATTCGAATTGTTTTTTATTTTTTTTATTTTTTAATGAATTTTTTCAACAAATAATAATAATAATAATAATAATAATAATAATAATAATAATAATAATAATAATAATAATAATTAAAACGATAAGTAATATCAATGTCAATAATTAAGTATGTCATTTTTTAAAAAAAAAAAAAATTTTTCATCGTTATTAATTACATCGTTTTTTTTTTTTTTTCTTTCTGACAAAAAAAAAAAAATTGCCAAGAATTGCAAAATATTTATTATTATTATTATTATTAAAATTGTGTAATGAGACTATATGCGGGTGTTTGCTTGTTTTTTTTATCATTATTATGTATGTCTATAAGAAAAAATAAATTTTTTAATTGAATATACATTTAAAAATTTTTCAATAAATCGAATTGTAAATGCCTACAAAGGAGGCCTTTTTTTCGGTTTGTTTATTTAACCGCGGGTGTGTGTGTGTGTGTGCGTGTGCGTGTGCGTGTACTGTTTGAATTTTTGTTTTTTTTTTTTTTTTTTTTTTTCGTAAGGTCGATTGTTCTGATCAAAAACGCGACTGGTTTAAATACAAAAAAAAAAAAACCTGAATATTTTTATACATTTCCTTGATTGTAAATCATCATCATCATCATCATCATCATTATCATGGCGACAAAGTATGGGGGCATATTATTTATTATTATTATTAATATCGAACAAAAGAAAATTTAGTGTCATCATTCACGTATCCTTTATTCACGTTTTTCGTTATATTAAAAAAAAAAAAAAAAAAAAAAGGATTTTCGCGGAAAATAGCAAGTTTTATTTATTATTATTATTATTATTATTATTTTAAAAGGTTGCCAATCTTGTTTTTTTTTTTTTTTTTTTTTTTTTCGGTTTTACGCACACGTATATTTTCATAACCAAATAAGGATATTGTTTTTATAGCGTGAGTTTTTTTTTATTTTTCTCAAGTCCTACTCGTTTTCCCCTCTCCTTCCCACCTCCCCTTCCCTTCCCCACCGAACTTTTTCGATCGCCATAATAAAAATAATACGAGTTTTCATAAAATTTACTTAACGTTTCATTATTATTATTATTATTATTAAATATTACGGTAACGATTTTATCATTTGAGACTTAAGAAAAAAAAAGGAGACTATCTGATAAGGATAAAAGATACGTTATTTTTCATAAGCTGTCCTTTTTGTTTGTTTGTTTGTTTGTTTGTTTTGGTACAAACGATGATTAATTTATTTAAATAATAGAGCAATCGCGAGAATACAACAACAAATCAATAATCAATCGATTGATTGATTCTTTAATTAATTACAAAACGGTACTTTGAAATTATAAAAAAAAAAAATTTTTTGTATTACCGTACAACAACAACAACAACAACAACAACAACAAACAATAAACAACAACAATATTATTTATTTATTTTAAACTTAGGCTAAATTCGATCGAGAAAAAGAAACCATTAATCATTTATTTTGATTTAATTTTATTTACATCTCAATTGTTTGTTTAATCGTAAAATTATATTGCCCCCTCCCCCTCCTCCCCACGGTACGAATGACCTTTTGGAAAAAATGTCTTCGCAAAAGTATTATTATTATTATTATTAAAAAAGAATTCCGACACGGTAACCTTTACGACACTACCGTTAAATTTACCAAGATAATAATAATAAAAATAAAAAAAAAATCACGACATTATTTTGACATGATGTTATATCACGATGGTATACTTTTATACTAATAATAATAATAATTATTATTATTATTATTATTACAGGTTATAATAATGTATTGCAGTGATAAAATAATGAGCAGGCCAATAATAACAAATTCTTCTCATTTGCACAAAATGACAACGACTCCATCGAATAACATTCCAAACGAAAATAAATTATCATCATCGAACTTTGCAACGACGACGCCGCCAACGACGCCATCTTTAAATAATTCAATCGTCAATTCGTTTTTACACGGTGGAAATTCTAGGGAAAAAAATCAGGCTAAAATGAACGGACCTGCCGTTTTTAAAAGTCATCAAACATTGACTCTATCATCTCCTACGGGAGAACTTCCGACGACGACGACGACGACACAATTCGGTTTCAGGAGAATTAACGGAAGTAGTAGTAGTAGTGAAAGTGCCGTGCAAAATAGAATAAGAAATTTAAATAATAGAGAAAGTGTTCAAAAAAATAATAATAATAATAATAATTCGGAGGGAGAACCCGAGTGTTCGGTGGTGTACAGGACGAAAAACACGACGACGACGGAAAGGAATAGAATATTCAATACAATTAAACCGGAAATACAAACAAACGGAGGAGATGCGGAGAAAAAATGGCAAATGAAATATGAAGATGCCGAAAGAAAAAGAAAAGAACTTTTATCGGAATCTCAAAAGCGTAAGATCATTATTATTATTATTATATATTATTATTATTATTATTATTATTATTATTATTATTTATTAATAATAATTAACGCGAAACAAATTAATTAATTTTTTGTTCAAGGTTTGTTGTGTTTTTCCATATTTGTTTGTTTTGATTTTTTTTTTCTTTTTGTTTTTCTTTTGCCAATAATAATAATAATAATAATAATGAATCACTTCCGCATTTTCTTTTTTGTTTATTTATTTAAGGTACGAAAAAAAAAAAAAAAAAAAAAACCGACCGTTAAAAAAAATTAATAAATTTAAAAACATTCAAAAAAATTGTTCCACCACCCACAACCTGTAAAAAATAACTAAACGTTATTTTCCCCCCCCACCCCAGCCCCCTCTCCCTAATTCTTATTCATACAAAAAAAGAAAACTCATAAAGTCAATGATTGATGCAAAACTCATTTAAAAAAAAAAAAAAAAAAAAAAATAATTAGTAAAGTCATGATGGCGCCAGATGAAAAAAAAAAAAATAAATAAATAAATAAATAAATGTTTCTGCAGTATCTGTTTTCATAAATGAATTCTATTTCTAAACTTGATCGTTCTTTCTCCCTTCACCACCCCACTCCCCAGCCCCCCCGTTTAAATAATAATAATAATAATAATATAATGACATTTCAATCGACTGTTTAAATATATATTATAAATATTTTCAGTATCGAGAGAAAAATCATCATTGGAACAAAAGTTGAAAAAAGTCGAAGATGAATACAGACAACTTAAATTAGATTTCAACGATAGAACTCATCAACTCAATGAATTAAGAAGAGGTGAGGAAAATTTTTTTAAAAAACCAGGTTCACTCTCTCTATCTCTCTCTCTCTCTCTCTTGAGAGCTTCAAGGGCGATTCGATGAATCATTAAACTGTTTGTTTAGGCGTTTTTTTTTTTTTTTTTTTTACAACTAAAATTTTCAAATCGAGACACGAAACTTAAAGTTTTTTTTTTTTATATTTCAGTATCCGAACAAGTTTATCAAGACTACGACAAACTTAATAATAAATATGAAACGGAAACGACAACACTTCATAAAGCACTCGAAGTTGCTTCCAAGGTTAGTAGTTTAATATTGTTTTTAAAACTCATTTTTATTTTATTGACACGAAAGGCAACAGCACGAGATTTTGTGCTATAATAAATGAATCAACGACTTTTCTCCCCCCCCCTCCCCTCCCCTCTCCCATTCTTTATGGCAATGACCTACGAACATAATCATCATATTAACAAAACAACAAATTTTCTTCATTTCCTATTGCATTTTAAATTATTTTAAAAAAAAAAAAAAAAACAAAAACATCTGCTTTTTTCATTAATCTCTATATATATATATATATACTTTGCCAACCACGCCCTTTCTTCTGCCACTTCTGCACACAACTCTCTTCATAATTTATTAATATTTAAATCAAAACAAAAGATTTTTGCAAATTTTAATAAGCAATTGGGAAAAAAAAAAAAAAAAGTACAAATGTAGAAAAACTATTAAAAAATCCAAGAGGGGGGAGGGTTTTTTAAATGAACTTGACCCGAGGTCAAAGACAAAGGGTTGTAATTTTGACTAACCTAAAATCCTAAAATCCTGAAATCCTGAAAAACAAAAAACATGTTTGTCAAGTTTTGTTTCGCCTTATTAACTACAACTTATCCTTGTTCCTACGCCCTGTAGTGCTAATAGTCTATTCAATTATAATTTTTTTTTCTGTAATTTTGTTTTATTTGCAAATTTTTTATTTTCCATCGTAAATTTTTTTCAGGTTTTTTTTTTTTTTTTACTTTTATAATACATACAACATAATATTATATGCAGTTCCCATAAAATTAAAAAAAAAAAAAAAAAAACCTGAATCATTAAAATTTTAATTTTTTTTTTTTATTTACCGTACGAAATCGTAGGGAATTTTTTTTTTATTTGAAATTTTTTACCCTTTTTTCTCCCCTCTAAATTATTAAAAATTTTCCAATTGATTATCTACGATGAGATACAACGAACGAATGTTAAAATACTTAAATATTCATAATAATAATAATAAACTAATATTTTTTTTCGTTTAGTGGTACAAAGAAAATAAAAAACTCAAACGCGAAAGTGTCGCTCTTCGAAGTTCCATGTTACTCCCCTCGAATTTTCAATTAATTAAAGATGAACCCGACGGAGAAGATTTGCAAGGTCAAGACGAATTAGAAGAATTGAGAAAAAACGTGCAAGGTGAGCCGTGCGAAGGTATTTTGAATTATAAATTTTAAAAGTGGACGAGAGCCTTAAATAATTTCAAAATCATCATCGGATTTTAGAATTGAGTAATCAAGTCGGCCAACTACAGTCGGAATTGAACAAAGCAAGACTTCAAGAATTCGAAGCACAAGAGCAATTTATAAACCTTTCCCAAGCTTTGGATCAAGAGAGAGCCATCAAAGACAAAATGGAAGAAGAATTGAAAACTCTCAGACTGATGAAACACAAATTCGAAAGCGTCACATACATGGTTCACGACGAAATGAAAGCCCTTAGAACGGAACGTGACAGAGCGACAGAAGCTGCAAGCAGACTACAAGCAGAAGCTCAACAGGTACGACGACACATCATACAAAATATTATAAGACAAAAAAACACAATAAAAAAAATTTTAAGATAAACTTTTTTTTTTTTTTCAAGGCACTAAAAGAAAGAAACGTTCTCGCTCATCAAAGTAGTTTGCTCATGGGAGAAATTTCATCGAACGAAACACTCATGAAAGTTTTGATGGAGGTTGAAGATCTCAAAAGAAAACTCGAAGAAGAAACGCAAAATCACATTTTAGACGTGCAAAAATTTCAAGAAAAGTTAGATGAAAGAGAAACTGAAGCTCAATTGGAAGTTGTCGAAGAAAAACTACGATTGGCAGAAGAAGATTTGCAAATGGCTTTGGAAAGAGCTGAAAAAGCTGAAAGAGCACAAAAAGAATTAGAGGAAAAAAGTAAAATAAAAACAAATTTTTTTTTTGAGAGAGAGAGAGATTTAAATATGAGACTAATCATTATTATTTTTTTTTTTACAGTGGCTGAAGTCGAATCGAAATTAGAATCAAACAGTGCGCCAGCTCCACCACCTCTCCCTCCACCACCACCGCCACCCCCATTATTTTCATTGACCTCTAACACCAATTTAATTATAAGAAAATCAGACAAGTCTTTGACACATAGAGAATCTATAGACGACATGGCAAACATTTTGGGCATACAAAGAACCCCCAAAGCCAATCATAACACAATCAATGGAGGTAATACACCTCATAAATATTTTTTTTTTATAAATTATATAAAATCCATAAAATTGAAATTTTTTTTTTTTTTTTTTGGTGCAGGAGCCATTAACGATATTATTAATGAAATAAAAGGCGGTAAATTTACTTTGAAAGCAACAGAGGTGAGTAAAAAGTTCTATCATCTACTTTTCGGCATAGCAAACCCTTATTATTATTATTATTTAGCCATTTTTATTACAGAGGCAAAAACTTAAAAAAGAAGAACCGCCCCCAGCCGTTCAAGAAATGCTTAACATAATAGGTACGTTAAAAAGACGAACGGGAAGACCTAAACCTGTCGCATCAGATGATGTTCAAGCATAATTAATTATTATACTTAAACACGATTTAACATTAACATTTCGAAAAAAAAGTTTTGCCAATTATTATCATTATCATTATTACGATTTGATTTTTTTTTAAATAATATTTTTATTATGAGTTGTATTATATAACACGAGCCAAAATTTTTATATACCAATAATTATTTAATACGAAACGTATAATTTTCGTATTTCGTACTTAACGCATAGATTCGATATAAAAAATAATAATAATAATAATAATAACTTATTGAAACGTATTAAATCCGAATGGGAAATAAGTTAAGAATGACTCCAGGCTCCATAATTTTCATTTCATTGGATATTTGCCATTTTTTCCAATACAATAATTATAGATAAAAAAAAAATTAATAACACCTAAGAGCGCAACGGTTTTTCACATTAGATTTTCCTCTTTTATTATTATTATTATTATTATTATTTAAGTAAATAATGGTTTAGATTATTTTATTGTGTACGCCATAAATAAAAAGATTATAAAATAATTTAAATTCACACACTTTTTTTTCTAGGCGTGATAATTATTATTATTATTTAAAAAAAAAAAAAAATACCTTAAATGGCATCGCGAGTTATTTGAATAAATTATACGTATTAAAAAAAAAAAAAAATTAAAATAATAATAATAATAAAACCTTGTAATCAACAAGAAAAGTAACATGAATATGGCGAATGGCAAACCTATACTTTAATACATACCCATTTTGAAAATGTTTTGAAAAATATTTTGAAAAATGTTTTGAAAATTTTAAATTCTATAAACAATAAATTTTCCATTTTTTCAAATCAATACCATTATTAACCATCATTTAAATTTTTTACTCATGAAAAAAATTTTGTTCGAAGATTAAAACAAAAGCATTTATAAAAAAACCATCACTGCCACCCACCACATATAAGAAAACAAATAATTTTACATTGGGGTGATAAATACGTATGTATCCATAAAAATTTTCATCCCCCAACTAAATTATCCTGTTTATAACATGCAAAAATTAAAATAAGTCAAACATAAATATTTTTTTTTTTTTTTTTAAATTTTTATATCAAAAAATTATTAAATATAAATAAAAGTTTAATTGTTCGAATTATAAATTTTTAGTAAAAAAGGTACTAAATAAATAAATAAAAAAAATTTTTTTTAAATTTTAATTTTGTAAAAAAAATATTTATGTATATATTTAATCGTAACATTATACAAATAATAATCATAACTCATTTCTCTCATTTTTTTTCCTTATGTTTTATCCCAATACTGAACCAAAAAGAAAAAAATTTAATAATGTGTGTGTGTGTGCGTAAGCATGAAAAAACAAACTAACCCAGTCTTTTTCCATGCACCATCATGAGCTAAGGAATAAGATATGACTTACCGACTTAAGCGGTAACTGCCTGCTCTACTTGTTCAATCATTTTATCCAAATTAGATGCAGGAATAATTAAAACGCGACGTAATGGAGTCATTTCTTCATCTGATTCTTTCCAAAGACCAGTTAAACCTGAATCGCTTTCTTTTTCTACGGAAAATTCAAACTGGACTTCGGCTAACTAAAAAAAAAAAAATTATTCTCATTATAATATATTTAAATACAAATGTACATCTATTATGATTGCAATTTTAAATTGTTTCCTTACTTTATCAATAATTTCTTCTTCTGGATTAGACCAAATAATTTCATGTGAAGATTTTTTATTTTTTTTCGATTTTTTCTTTTTATTCGTCAAATCGGTTTTATACAATTTGCAAATTAATATGATATAAGAAAAATCAAAAGCCATTTTCCTTTCGACAGCTCTTTGTATTTCAGACCTGAAAAAAAAAAATGATTAAAATGTAATTTGGAATTGGTAAAAAGCGGAAGAAAACTAAATTAAAGCTTTTCCCTAACCTTAAGCTTTTTAGCAAAGGAACAACAATTTGTGGTGGAATGTTTACAAATCGTTCGTTTATCAACAGTCCAACTGGTTTGTTATCGTTTGACATCAAATTTCTAACAAATGAAACTTCTCGATCTGATCCATATTCTATGCACAGTTCAAGAAGTAAGCTTCTTAACTGTTGTATGCACTCTAGTTTCTAAATAAGAAAAAAAAATATTATAATTGAAAGAGATAAAATAACTACAAAAGGTGACACAAAAAAAAATTTAATCTCACATAAAATCCGTACTTAAACATATAAATAATAATAATAATGCAAGTTTTGAAATTTAAAAAAAAGTAAATTTTAATAAAATGTAAATCATAGATTTATTAAGTTAATTTCTTTTAATGAACAACTTGTTGATTCAACCCCAACCTATGTTAAAAACTCATTTTTAACAAATGCATTTTTTTTTTTTAATGACTATTCTAAATCGAATCAACAGGTGTAAAAATTTGATAAACAATTTTTTCATGTTTTAAAATAAGAATTACATTCAAAATCAATTCATAAACTCTTTTTAAATTAAATAATTTTAATAATTTTAATGAGGGAGGGAAAAAAAAAATGAAAATCAATATGGCAGCAACTCACTTGTTTTTCAGTCAAATTAATTACGGTTGTAATTCCAAAAACTTGATTCGCATCGGTTTCATCATCATCATCATCATCAGATTCTTCATCGTCTCTATCAGATTGTTTAATAACACTACCGATGAAATTTTGATTAATTATCAAATTTGTAAGCTCTGTTAAATTAATATGAGCTTTAAGAAAAAGTTGGCTCAACAGTTGTTTGATTCCGTGAAAATCCGAGTCGATGGGATTGCGTCCCTCGAAATCGATTTGTATCACCTAATTACGTTTAATCGTAAAACACATTAATTAAATAATTAAAAACTTAAAAATTCTTTTTAAAAAATAAATTATGATCAAATGTTAACTTTTAAAATCACTCCATGTAAAAAAAAAAATAATTTAAAAAAGTCACATAAGGAATTTTCCAGAAAACAAAATGGCTACTAGAAACTTAAAATTTCCTCATAGAGGGTTCTCAGTTATGTTCCTTAAAGAAAAAAAGAACTAAATTAAGGGAAAAAACGCATAAGAAAAAGTCCTTTACCCCTTTCTCAAAAAAAAAAAAAATTCGCGGGTAATTTGATTTTGAAAATATTATCTTCGTGTAAACCTAATCGAAATTATTACCTCATTTTTAGAATTGTCTAAATTTTCTTCCGAACTGGAATCTTCATCGCTACTTTCAGTTTCTTCTAAATTATCTTTTTCTTCTTTATTCTCTTCAACATTGACAGCACGTTTCTTTCCAGGAGCGGCCATGTTTAAATTATGATACGCGCCTTTATATTGATTTACCGCCTATTTATAACTTATGCATGTATCAAATAAAACAAATATCGAATATCGATTTATCAAGTTTCGATATATCGAATTAAATAGATTATTTTGTCTACACAAATTAATTCAACATCAAACAAAATAAATTTATTTGTATTACATTTATATTTAAGTTATTAAATTAACTATTTATCTTTTCATTTTAATTATAAACGGAAAAATGTTTAAAAATAGCATTCTTTTGTTTTGTTTGGGTTTAATTTTAAAATAATGATGATAGGAATAACATTAATTGAAATAAAATTAAAAGAAAAAAAAATTTTATCAAAAAAATAAAATCTACAGTTTTTTTATTTATTCATTCAATTTTATTTATATTAACAAAATAAATTTTTTTTTATTATTATTCCCTTATAAACAATTTTAATAAATATATTTATGTATATGTAAGGAAAATACAAATTGCTTAAATATATAACAAAACTAAAAAATAAATACATGATTTTTTTTTTTTTTTTTAAATTTATAAAATTATAATTTCTGTGATTTATTTAAAAAAAATTTGATTTTATGAATGATTGATTAATAAAAAAATTTTACAAATTGGATAAATATTAAAATTTACAATAGTTAATTTAATTCGATGATTTTCAACATAACACAAATAATATTGAATGTTTTCGTTTTCGACAAAATGATTTAAGCAATATTTCCCTTCTCCTTCTCCACCTTCTTCACATTAAAACATAATAATAAAATTGTATGTAATATAAGGCAATACTATAAAATAAAATAAAAGAAGTGATGCAATACTATGCATGCAACATATATAATGGCAACTACATGAAAAAGAAATTGAAAAAAAAAATATGAAAGACGTGAAACTTTAATAAATTTGTTAATTTTTTTTTTATTCAATTTCTTAAAAAAAAATATAACAACAGATGCGGTGCGTTTCTCCACACGCGGCATATTTTTTTTTTTTTTTTTTTTTTTTTCTTATCACAATCATTTAGTTATCAATAACAAAATTATTTTACCTCGAATAATTCAGTTACAATCATTTGTTTTCAAAAAAAAAAAAATTTTTTTTTAAATCTTTGGTTAAATTTATTTGTTTCATCGGGCACATTAATTACTCTACCACCCACATAATTATTATTATTATTATTATTATTATTATTCCATCATTAATTGTAAAAATTATTTTTATATTAAA